TGAAGCACACTTTTCAGGTCCTTGCATGAGCCCCTACAATATGCAAAAAACCGTTTTCGAAAAGCGCACCACGCCCTGAACGACCTCCCTTGTAAGAGCACATGCGAAACGGAGAGTAAACTACGCTTTGACAATCCCTCCCCCTTCAAATGTTCTGTTTTATTTGAATGTTTCTAACTATTTGTTGTTTCTTTCAACTAAACGGGCGGTGGCAGCGCTTTTGGTGAAATATTTTTGAGACAGGTTGTAGTGATGTCTCTGTCCAGCACTGAACAAGATGACAGTTGTCTCAAACTGAAATATCCCACGAGCAACCCATTCTATGCCATTTCAAATGCCACGCCTACTCCGTCTCAGGGATAAGGAGTGTAACTCAGCCTTTCTTATTCATAAACTTTGTAAACCAAGATGGTAGATCTCCTTTGCCATGGTGAGGTAAGTTACGATCTCATAAGGAATTCGGTCGAGATGGGATTTGTAATACACCGCGAAAACCAATTCTTCTACAGATTATATCACTCGATAGAGCGTCTTTCAATTGGTTTGTTTATGCCGATTATGTGACCCATTGAACTGCTTCCGTTTTCGCTCGCACCGTTCAACCCGTAACAATACTTGCTTGATGACCCAGATTAAAGTAGAAGAAATTCAAACACTTCTCGACAACCATTCTCAATCACATTCCGTCTTTACTCTCATAATTACTTGAATTTATTTCTTCATTGATTCTCTACTGAACTCCTTAACCTTTTCGCTAGCTTTATCAAGTTGTTCTGGGTGCTTGTGCAATTACTGTATGTTTAGGGACCATGGGTACTTTACTCGGATTGATCGTCGTTTTGTCGATGGCACGCTATTCCTTGAGGCTAGTCATTTGGTCTTACTATTTTAAGCCCAGCGACACCTCGAACGAACTGATCGGAAAGACATTTACTTCTGTAGACTTTTTGGCAGCTGATTGTTACTGGAGAAGTCTTGAGTCTCCAGTGGGAGGGGGAGTATAGAAGGAACTCCTGAGGGCGCGCGACTGGAAGGAGTGTAAAATGGTAGTTTCCGAAATTCCGTTCGAAGTGCCGCAGGACTTTCGCTTTGCCTAATAGATGTAGAGATTTGAATTAAAAGGAGAATTTTCAGTGTACCTTCAAGTCAAAACACGGAAGCTGCTAAGGCCATGGTTGGTTGGGACTTCAAAAGTTCTTATCTTGTGCAGTTTTACAACAAGTTCTTCAAATAATGATATAGAAGGCTGAGCTGACTGATTTTTCCATGAGGCCATGGTCAGCAGTTGCGCGATAGGTGGGCTCAAAACAGAACCCTGACAGTCACCTCTCCCCCTATTTTGGTTTTGTATTGGAAGAAAAAGGGATAAGGATGAAGAAGATCAACTTCTTGCACAAGCTCATTGTCATCCATTCAGGGCAGAGAGGTTCTTGAGTTTTCCATAAACTGAGAAGATTTTGGGTTTATGAGGCGCCCATTTTATTAGGGCAGTTAAGCCTCTACCGTCAGGGTTCAGCATCGTGATGTGCGAAATGGTGGTGTCTGTACGACCTCCCCCCCCCTCACCTCTAGGGAGGGTGTAGGAGGGGTGTCAGTGCGACCCCACCTAGGGGGAGGGTGCCGATACAACCCCCTCCCCAACACCTATGTACAGTCCTCATCATTGCGGACCGGTGGGGCGTGTCAGTGCGGCTGCGTTTGGCGCGGTGCCAAAGTCGTTCTGCACCAGTTGTTGAAGCGGGCAAGTGACATTACTGTATTATATCCTTCGTATTACTCGTTTTCTACCACTTTTTGTCGCATACGCGTTTCACAAAAGGCTGAGAACGGCTTCAACAGTGTGCACACTCATACTGGCTGACACGCCCCACCGGTCCGCAATGATGAGGACTGTACCATTTCCCCACATTTTCCAGTTTTTCACCCTAAAATTTTCTGCGGAGGAGGAATTTATAGTACGACATGAAACAGGAAAACTTACGAAAAGTCAACCACGAGAAAGTTTTCCTAAAATCCTCTCGGCGAATTCCTCTCAAAGCCACATTACCATATGACTCGCCCCCTCTTCATAAATACCAAATAAAGACCCCAGGCCGAAGACTTACCGACCCCTCATCTGTTTTCAAACAGATGCTGTTATCCTGTCTACCGTCCTATAGGGTTCGGGGGTGAAATTCATCTACAAGTTTGTTCTAGGTGACATTCATGCTCCGGATTTTTTTCAACTCCAAGGGGAGCGAGCACCTCTAGGTCACACGCCCTGGTTTCCCTGATCCCATTTTCGCTTCGTGAAAGTGGCGCAACCTACGCCGTTGCGGGTGCAGTTACTTTACACATTGGAAAGATTTGCACGTCTCACAAAGGAAAGGTAGTAGTTTCAAATGGCCGTATAAAATTAGATGTTTTCCTGGTCAGTAAATCGTAGACTGTGCCTTTAAGGAGCTCAGTTCGCTCATCAACGAAACATCTTCGTTTAGGGAGCCGTTAAGTTCGCTTCCATCATTAATCTCTTACAGTTTTCCCATATAAGAAATTCCATAAGTGAAAACCAGCAAAATTCTAGTTGACTTTGATTCTTCAGACGACACTCTCCCTTCGTGAACTGCTCGCAACATATCAGAGGCTTTACGAGAGACAGTTTCACGAACGCCTCCCTGACAGCGAAAAAGTCCTCCTAGCAACTCTACCACAATTTGAAAAACCGTCTGTGCAGGGACAAATTTGTGAGCGAATTTTCCTCCCGAAAATAATAAATGAATCTCAAAATACAGCCTCAAATTTTCAGCTGCTGCCAGAACACTCGATGAGCCACAGTCATTCCAGATGGACGATGATTCGAAAAAGGAAAAAGGTGCTGGTCGTTGAAAAGAACAGCACAGAGGCCACAGAAGAGCCAAATGAGCCGTCTAGTAATGTCACCTCTTTAGTTAGTGTGATTGAAAAGAAAGACTCGGCGGTCTCGGTCCCACCAAGGTCGACGGCTGCCCCTCAAACGGATGCCTCGACAACCCCATCCACAGATGTGACAGAGCCAGAACAGCCCCCAACTACGAGTCCCGCGGATGAGCTAAAGGAAAACCAGACTTCACCCACGAAAGCTGAAGAGGTCCCGAAGAAGGAAACGATAAAAGATAACCCAAAGGAGGAACGCCCAGTTGCTGCCGCCCCCTCAAGTAAAGAGGAACGCCTGGTAATACCGTCACTTTAAATCCGGTGATGATGAGCGTTCTGAGCAGAGGAGAAGTAGTGCCATTGGAAATGTTTAACATCATGCCTACCACAGCCGAAGAAGCGTCCATGAAGGTAGCTCCGCTTCCTTCAATGAGAGATGTTCTTTTGATAAAAAAGCAACCAGTAAGTCCCATCCCACCCGTGGCTGAGTCAATTCCGAAAATGTCCGCCCCTCCTGCACCAACAGAAGCCGTTCAACGTCCCAGGATCCAAATGCCGTTGGCTGCGGAAACAGTCGAGGTGGTTCCCAGGCGTTTCCAGTCATTGCCACAAGAAATGCCAGCACGTGAATTTGTCACGAAAGTACCAATGAAAAGTCCTGTGGAAGCCGAAGTGATACCAACAAGGGCTCCCAAACTGCCTACAGCAAGAACTGATCCCGATAGCCCGAGAAGACTCGTACCAAAACAGACAGCTGTGAGACCACCTCCAAGGAATCTGCCGAGGCCTCAACCGAACAACCTCGAGGTACGACTTTTCCGATGATTTTGGGAATTTTTCTAACCTGATATTCAAGGTGATGAATCACGTAGTCGTGCCACGAACGCAATCGTCTGGCCCACCGCAACAGTCCAGGAGGTCTAATGGCCCAGTTAGAGTTAGGCAACCATTGCGACGTCCTCAGGTAAAGTGATCACCTTGGGTAAGCACTTCGCAGACTCTGAAGAATCTTTGGAGCGTTTCAGAATCAAGCAAGGGTGCCGCTACCAGTTCGACCTCCTCCAGAAAACAATGCTCCTCCTCCACCACCACCCAGAAACACCCAGAAACCAGTCAATCTGATTGTCATTCAAAGATGGCGATAGCTTGAGCTTATCAGGCTCAGCAGCAACGAGATCTAAGCTCTCGTGCTATAGTAAGTTACTCTTCTGAACAGTCTTCAGAGGGAAAGCCGCAGTGCCTTTAATAGGTGGTGCATAAAGAGCGCTCTATGCAAAAGCGAATTCGTCATTCTTCACCCGATTCCCCTACGCTCAAGCCGTAAAACCCCCATAAGTGTTACTTTGCCAAGAGTTCCTTCAAATGGCCCACCATCATGGAAAAAACGCCACGAATTTTGAATGCTCTTTTAGTGCCGATGGGCCACTCCACAAATGAAACGGGACCTCGACGAAGGGCCACCGAATCCGTCACACATGCCGTCTCAAATTCCGTGGACCACGCCGAGCGATTTTCTTCTGATTTTTAGTCATTGATGCCAAACGACATGTTGTAATAATTGTAATAATTACTTTGACCGGTTTCTTAGGTGATGACGGGATGAATATAATGAATAAATCTTTGCAAATGAGAATGGAGGTTGTTGAAACATGAGTTCTTCTCACACAAAGCGGTTCTTCTGAGCTTCGAAATCTTAAGATAGTCCCCTCCAAACTTTTGCTTACCTCAATACAACCCCTTATCACAGCATACCTTTCCTTCCATCAGGTAGCGTTCAGACTTCGCGACGGCAGCGCTTCGGTCGCGTGTTCGACAAGATCGATGCGCATGCTTTCGACTGCATTTATCGTCGCGCCGAACGCTGAACAAGCGCTGCCCTCGTGAAGTCTTAACGCGTGCCCTCAAGCGTGTTTCACAAAGGAGGTTGCCTGCGCTCCGTTGTGTCCAAGCGGGGTGCTGCGTACACTATAGAGCCATGGCCATGAAAGCGTAGGGGTCATACTCGAGGTCACCTCAAATCCTTTTTGCTGCACCGTGGCACGCGATGATGCAGGCGAGAACTCACGGCAACAGCAGCTTACGGACAGCATGAACTTCACTTCTTGGTGTCGCCTCTTGTCTGGCGCCTCTTGTGTACACTAGTGTTTTAGGAAGCTATAACTCCCAACTTTTCCGTGTAATAAGATCTCAGCCCCCATGTGGAGATTCTCCTCCTATAGTCATTCCCTGGCTCGTCCACGTTCTTCCGCACCTTCGGATACTGATAACAGCCGCTGGTGCTCGTTCTGCTGTGCGCCCGCCACGGAGTTTAAAACATAGGACCATAAGGAGGGGACAGAATAGGATTTCCTGTAGGTACTGCGTGGAAAAACTATACAAAATTTACTTAATATATGCATACGCAGATAAAACTGATCGAGCCAAGACACAGCAAGCGATTTCCGGTTCTACAAGTACACAAGGTTCTGTCAGACCGCGTTCAGACTTCGCGATCGGTTCGCTCGAACGACTGGATCGCTCGGTCGGATCGCGCGACCACGTCCGAGAGCGCTCCACCGACAAACGCTACACCGCCACAAGGGCGCAATCCAGATTGGGCCGCTTTCACACAGTGCCATATTTTTGAGTTGAGTCGCTGCGGCGGTGAGGCGGAGACAAGATTATAAGTTCAGGTTGTCAGGCTGCGTACAGTACCCCGCAAATTGCGCGTGAAGTTAAAAATGTGAACGCACACTCCGGCGCGGGAAGCTCCGAGGTGGGGCGGCCACCGGGCACGACACGCCCGCCCTGGCGGGCACCAGCCCCGCGGCCAGGTTACACTACTCCACGCCAAAAACCAATGGTCCACACAGACCCAGGCCCCGTTGTGTGCATCCACGGACAACACAATTAATCCCACGCGCAATTTTCGGGGGTACTGTACGCAGCCTGACAACCTGAACTTATAATTAAATGAGGCAGAGCGTCTCCGGTCGCGGTCGCGCGATCCAATCGCTCAAGCAGTCCGTTCGCGAAACTGAACGCGGTCTCATACGGCACAGAAAAAAGTGCTGGCTTGCCTAGAAATCGCAGTCCTGCGGATGGTTACTGAAGAGACCGCTCACAAGGAAAGACAGCAGTGTTCGCTTCAACTGTCAGTATACAAATACCTAGCCTTCTTCCCCTAGCCCCCTTAGCCCTTGTGATGGAACATTATTGAGTAAAGATATACACATATATGGTTGTTCTTGTCATGTATACCGTCATACCCATCAGGTGAAGGCCCTGCACACTCTTACTCTGTCACTGCTGTAGTGTAAGGGAGCATGCGCCGTGAAAGCGACACGATCCTACATCTGTCCCAACACCTTCCAATCACAGAGATTCCTCTTAATAACTTCAAAGGGCACAAAACGATTAAAACTACACTCTAGCCCATAATAAGATTACAAAGGTTTATAATAAAGTGCATGGAACACGACCAATAGAACTGCGAAGAAGAAACATCATTGAACAAAGGATCTACAGGTTTGACCCAACGAAGGGACGAACATGACGATAGCCCGGGTAGGACGAGACATCGCTTCAGTAGCTGGAGCAGGGATCCGTGCCGCGTACGTGATGTCCACGCACGGGCGATTTTTCGAGCTTCCCCTCTGCTGCTTCGCCACGCCCTGAAAACTAGGAGCTGGGCAAAATGTAGGAGCATCGTGCCTGCAACTGCGCGGGTTACAGTATGATTCTGCTCTCTGAGGTGCTTGATAAATAAAACATCACCTTTTTTTGAAGTATACACGCGCTACAGAATGGTTGCTACTAGATCGAACAAGATGAACTCTACTGGGAGAACCGAAAACACCTGAACCTTTCTGAACTTGTTTATATTTTATCGAGAGAAATGCCGACTTACAAAGGCACATTTGATGTGCGGGCCCTTCGTTGGACACGGTAATCCTGTCTGCAACCATGGAGGATGTATTACACTTCGCATCTCAAAAATACGTGAGGAAAGCGCGACCGGCCTGTGACGAAGCCACCGCCCCGCCCACCGGCCATGCCAACGCCCAAATTTCATTTCTAAAAGCTTCCTGGTGCTGCGTTTTACGCTTTCGACTACTAGCTCTTTCCATTACCGATTGTGAGAGTGAGATGATTAGTGAGAACTCGACCGACCTTTCCTCGCCGTAGGCAATTTTAAAGGCGGTTAGGCATGGGTTCTATATGAGGCATTTCGGGCAGATTTTTGGCGCGGTTTGTCGACGGGGGGCATTCTGCTTT